AAACCTCTGTCTTATGAGTGGGGCAAGAGTAGTGTGGGCCCCAGTATTCTCTGTGCACTGCATTCAAGGTAGAACCATTGTTCCATGAACAGGGGTTGGTTGGAAGAGGGTCTCCCTCCTCTTGACACTAATCACCCAGAACTTAGTCTCAGCAACAGGTAGCTGGAAGAATTATGAGAAATGGTGAAGTTGCACTCGTCCTGGGAAGAAAGCTCTTCAACTGGGAGCTGGAGGAAGAGGGAGCCCTAGAGTGGAGTCTGCCTCACTAGGCAGAGAGTGGTGAAGGAAAAAGTTTTCTTGATTCAAATACAACAGACTCATCTTTCTTATACTGAATTGCATAGTTTTTGGAGGATGAATAAATCTTCATTTTATGCTTAGCCTCAGGACTACAAAGACTCTCTCTATATATACATACATACATACATGCATACATACATACATACATGCTTTAAGTGTTTGTATTTAAAAAAATAATTCTGAGGCGGAGAATCACTCGAACTCAGGAGGCAGAGCTGGCACTGAGCAGTGACTGCGCCATTGCACTCCAGCCTAGGCAACAAGAGCGAAACTCCATCTTAAAAAAAGTTTTACTAGTTTCAGTGATAAATTAGTAAGAGAGTAGGTCAGCTGATCTGTTCATTCTGTCATGCTAGAAGTTCATACCCCTGTTTGTTTGTTTTTTAATTCTCCCTTACCTCTACATGTTAGATCTAAGCTTTTTTGGATCTACTTTTCTTGACTAAGGCTTGAGTCTAATACCTTTACTTTCTTTAGTGAGTTAATTTGGTTTTCGCTTTTTTCATCGGACAGCTCTTTTTCTGCAAAATATTGTAGTTGAAGTGAGGAGAGGTTTTCTCTATAGCTAACTAGGACTTACTCATATTTCAGAAAATAAGAGGGCCCTTTAAGATTGCTGCTACAATGATAATTGACTAGACATGGTCTGTCCTTTGTTGCTCTTTGAAAGGTCTGCTTAGATAATGCTTTAAATTTCTGTAGATAATGGCTAACCTTACTAAACTGTACTGTGAAATTTCAGGTCAAGCTGGGGAAAAGTGAACTGCTTTGTGTAGGTATGTTTTTAGTGTCTCTTTTGGTAGTGGAGGAGGTGCATAGAAATTGCATTCTGTGGAGAGAATACTTAAAAATAATTAACTTAAAGCTTGAGGGCTAAAACTTGGCTTTTTAAAGTGTGAAAGCTCTTACCTTTATTAGTCATAAGAAACATACAAACCTTGGCTGGGCACGGTGGCTCAAGCCTGTAATCCCAGCACTTTGGGAGGCCGAGGTGGGTGGATCACGAGGTCAAGAGATCGAGACCATCCTGGTCAAAATGGTGAAACCCTGTCTCTACTAAAGAGACAAAAAATTAGCTGGGCATGGTGGCACGTGCCTGTAATCCCAGTTACTCAGGAGGCTGAGGCAGGAGAATTGCCTGAACCCAGGAGGCGGAGGTTGCAGTGAGCCGGGATCACGCCATTGCACTCCAGCCTGGGTAGCAAGAGCGAAACTCCACCTCAAAAAACAAACAAACAAAAAAAGAAACATACAAACCTTTATCACAAGGTGGTACCACTATATAACCACCAGAATGGTTAAATTGAAAAAAAGACCAATGTAAGTGGAACAGTTACAACTCATATACACTGGTGGGGAAATGTAAACTTGTAGGATCACTCTGGAAAACTGTTACTAAACAACAGTTAAAGCTGAACATACACATATATGTATTCACCAAAAATCCAAAACTTTGTCTTCATTTTATTTATTCTCACTAAAACTTACTAATATTCATTAAATAAAACTTGTGAAATAAGTAAGCTTATAAGTTACTATTATATCATCCATGGTTATGTAGATCTGAAAAATCATGTATACTATAATTAATTCCTTAATTTCTTCGGTCATTATCTAACAATATACACAAATACATACACATAGTTCTCCATCTCCTTCCTTTTGAACAGAAATAGGAGCATACTATATATAGAGTATAAAATCTTGGTTTCCCTTCCCCTCTTCTTTCTTTATGAGACCATGTCTCACTCTGTCTCACAGGCTAGAGTACACTGGTATACTCATGGCTCACTGCAGCCTTGATCGCCCAGGCTTAAGTGATCCTCCTGCCTCAGCCTCCCAAGTAGCTGGGATCACAGGCATGAGCCACCAAGCCCTGCCACTTTTTATTCATAGACTTTAATTTTTAGACCAGTTTTAGGTTCCAGAAAAATTGAACAGAAATTGTAGTTTCCTATGTCTCCTCCATTCTACTCCACACAATTCTCTATTACTAACATCTTGTATTAGTGTGGTACATTTGTTCCAGTGGATGTACCAGTATTGATACATTAGTATTAACTAAATTCCATAGTTTACATTAGAGTTTACTCTGTATTGTATTTCCTGGGTTTTGATAAATGTAGAGTGTCATGTATCCATAATTATAATATCTTTTTTTTTTTTTTTTTTGAGACGGAGTTTTGCTCTTATTACCCAGGTTGGAGTGCAATGGCGCGATCTCGGCTCACTGCAACCTCCGCCTCCTGGGTTCAGGCAATTCTCCTGCCTCAGCCTCCTGAGTAGCTGGGATTACAGGCACGCGCCACCGTGCCCAGCTAATTTTTGTATTTTTAGTAGAGACGGGGTTTCAGCATATTGACCAGGATGGTCTCAATCTCTCGACCTCGTGATCCACCCGCCTCAGCCTCCCAAAGTGCTGGGACTACAGGCGTGAGCCACCGCGCCCGGCCCCATAATTATAATATCATACAGAATAATTTTGTGGTCCTAAAAATCTTCTGCACATCATTTTTATTCTTCCCTCCCTCTCCTAGAACTCCTGACAGCCATTGATCTTTTTACTGTCACTATACTTTAGACTTTTCCAGAATGTCATATAGTTGGAATCACACAGTATGTAGCTTTTTCAGATTGGTTTCTTTGACCTACCAATATATATTTAAGGTTCCTCCTTTTCTTTGGTGTCTTGACAGCTCACTTCTCTTTTATTGCTAAATAATATTCCATTCTATATATGTACCACAGTTTATTTATCTACTCAACTGTTGAAGGACATCTTTATTGCTTCTATGGGTTGGCAATCATGAAGCAAGCTGTTATAAACATTCGTGTCCAGGTTTTTTTCTGGACTTAAGTGTTCAACTCATTTGGGTAAATGCCAAGGACAGCAATTGCTGGGTCTTACAGTAAGACTGTTTTGCTTTGTAAGAAGCTGTCAAATTGTCCTCGAAAGTGACTGTAGAATTTTGTGTTTCTACCAGCATTGGATGAGAGAACCTATTGCTTTCCATCCTCACCTGCATTTGATGTATTCAGTATTTTGGATTTTAGGCATTCTAATAGGTGTGTAGTGGTAACTCATTATTGTTTTAATTTGGAATTATCTGATGACATATAATATTGGGCATCTTTTAATCTGCCTATTTGTCATCTTTATATCTTTTTCAGTGAGATGTATGTTCATATCTTTTGCCCATTATTTAATTGGGTTCTCTTGAATTTTAAGAGTTTTGTGTGTTTTTGATACAAATTCTTTATTATTTTGCAAATATTTTCCCCCAATTTGTGGCTTATCTTTTCATTTGCATAACATTATCTCTCATGGAGCAGAAATTTGTATTTTAATGAAGTTTCTCCTATCAATTTTTTCTCTCGTGAATTATGCTTTTGGTGTTGGATCTAAAATCTCATTACCGAACCCAAGGCCATTTAGATTTTTTCCTATGTGATTGTCTAGAGGTTTTACAGTTTTGCATCTTATATTTAGGGGTATCATGCATCTTGAGTTAATTTTTGTGAAAGGTGTAAGGTTTGTGTTTAGATTCAGTTTTTGTATGTTCCAGCACTATTTGCTGAAAAGACTATCTTTTTTTTCTATTCATTTGCCTTTGCTCCTTTGTTAAAAATCAGTTGAGCATATTTGTGCAAGTCTGTTTCTGGGTTCTTTATTCTGTTCCCTTGATCTATTTGGCTATTCTTTCACCAGTACTATACTATCTTGCTTATTGTAGCTTTATAAAACATCTCAAAGTCAAGTAGTGTCAGTCTTTGTTCTTTTCAATATTGTATTGGCTGTTCTGAGCCTATTGCCTCTCCATATAAACTTTGCAATCAATTGCCAATATCTACAAAATAATTTCCTAGGATTTTTTAAAAAATTCACAGATTAAATTGTGTGTATTTATTGTATGCAGCATAATGTTTGAGGTATATATACATTGTAGAATGACTAAATTTGGCTAATTGACATTTGTGTGTTACCTCATATAATTATCAATTTTTAATTTACTGGGATTTTGATTGGGATTGCATTGACTCTTTACATAAAGCTTGGAAGAACTGACATCTTGACAATATTGAGTAACATGGAGTATTGATGAACATGGAGTATCTTTCCATTTATTTAGATCTTTGATTTCTTTCATGAATGTTGCTTCTTTAGCTTGATAATTTATCTTGTAGATCATTCTATTTCTGCGTATATAGACAGACGTACCTCATCATTTTTAACAGATGAATATTTTATTGTGTGGTTGTACAAAAATTTTCTTAGCCATTCCCTTACAGATGGATGTTTTGGTTGTTTCCAATCTTTTTCTTCCACAAACAGTGCTGCAGTGAAATTCTCATATTAAATCTGTATACACATGTGAGTATATCTTAGGATAAATTCCTAGGAATAAAGTTATACAATCAAAAGTATATGCAATTTAAATTTTGGTGGCTTTTGCCAATTTTTCCTCCAAAGAAGCTGTATAAGTTTATACTCCAGAACAGTACATGGGACTATTTCTTTCCTGTAGCCTCACCAATATAGCAGTTAACAATTCTTATAAAGCTGGTATATGGCCTACAAGAAAAACTTACAAATGATACCACTTGTTTCTTTGGCTTTGGCCTTATTTAAACATATTTTTAAGAATATATTTATATATTTCTACATGAAAAAGTGATTTTTTTTTTCTGATCTGTTTGAGACCTGTGGATATCTGGGCTTTGGGCTGTGTGATCATTGAGATGGCCACTGGAAATCCCTATCTTCCTAGTAGCTCTGATTTGGATTTACTCCATAAAATCATTTTGAAAGTAGGTAGGTATTACTGAAATAACATGAGTTACATGTCTAAAATAAATATTACCAGATCAATTCTGCTTAATTTTCATATTCTGCTTTTCTGTGTAAGAACAGGGAAGCATTTGATAGCAGCAGATGGGTGCCTTGGGCTGATAAAGAAGGTAGAAAATTCTTTGTTAGGATGCAAATAGCCAAGCCATATGTTGACGGTTGATGCTAAGAAAAATAGTGCAATAGGAATATACTTCAATTTGTTCAAAAGTTGTTTTTAAATTAGGCTTCTACAAATATTCACACCTCTATATAAGAACTTTTAAATAGTATTGAGTCAGATGGTTTTTTAAAGCATTTGGAAATGGAAAATTATTTACTCAGAGACTGCCCCCTCCCTTTTTTTTTTTGAGACAGAGTCTCTCTCTGTTGCCCAGGCTGGAGTGCAGTGGCGTGATCTGGGCTTGCAACCTCTGCCTTCCGGATTCAAGCAGTTCTCTGCCTCAGCCTCCCGAGTAGCTGGGATTTCAGCCGCCTGCCACCACACCCAGCTAATTTTTGTATTTTTAGTAGAGACGGGGTTTCACCATCTTGGCCAGGCTGGTCTTGAACTCCGGACCTCATGATCCACCTGCCTTAGCCTCCCAAAGTACTGGAATTACAAGCGTTGAGCCACTGTGCCTCGCCAACCACCTTTCTTTTTAAAGTAAATAGGAATATATAGCCAGATAGCTGTGTTCAAGAACATATTTGATGAAGGCCGAACATGGTGGCTCACACATGTAATCCCAACACTTTGGAGGCCGAGGCAGGCAAATGACCTGAGATCAAGAATTGGAGACCAACCTGACCAACACAGTGAAACCCGATCTCTTGCTAAAAATACAAAAAAAAAAAAAAAATTAACCAGGTGTGGTGGCAGGCACCTGTAATCACAGTTACTCAGGAGGCTGAAACATGAGAATCACTTGAATCCAGGAGACAGAGGTTGCAGTGAGCTGAGATCGTGCCACTGCACTCTAGCCTGGGCAATGGAATGAGACTTTGTCTCAAGATAAAAAGAGTATATTTAATGAGAGTTTAATTATTTGATGATCTGCTTTGGCCATCAAAACATTGATGGTTAGTCTTGAAATTACAATTTCAAGATTTGTGGATTTTTTTAAATTTTAATTTTTTTGAGACAGGGTCTCACTTTGTCATCCAGGCTGGAGTGCAGTAGTGCAATTATGGCACACTTCCTGGGCTCAGATGATTCTCCCACCTCAACCTGCCGAGTAGCTGGGACTACAGGCATGTGCCATCATGCACGGCTAATTTTTGCATTTTTAGTGGAGCTGGGGTTTTGCCATGTTGTCCAGGCTGGTCTAGAACTCCTGAACTCTCAAGCGATCCACCCATCTTGGCCTCCCAAAGTGCTGGGATTATAGGTGTGAGCCACCATTGCCTGGCCAAGATTTGTTTTTTGTTATTACTGAATGAGGAGATTGAGAAGCTCTTTGTATGGCAGGGAAGCTATACATAAATTCGTAATTACAGGATTATGAGGAAGATACTATGAACAATTCTAAAAACAGTGAAATTTGGATACTTAATGATTTAAGATATAGTTTAGGCCGGGCGCAGTGGCTCAAGCCTGTAATCCCAGCACTTTGGGAGGCCGAGGCCAGTGGATCACGAGGTCAGGAGATCGAGACCATCCTGGTCAACATGGTGAAACCCCGTCTCTACTAAAAATACAAAAACTTAGCTGGGCATGGTGGTGTGTGCCTGTAATCCCAGCTACTCAGGAGGCTGAGGCAGGAGAATTGCCTGAACCCAGGAGGCGGAGGTTGCAGTGAGCCGAGATCGTGCCATTGCATTCCAGCCTGGATAACAAGAGTGAAACTCCGTCTCAAAAAAAAAAAAGATATAGTTTAGAGCCTTAACACCCCTCACTTTAGGCCGGGTGTAGTGGCTCACGCCTGTAACCAAGCACTTTGGAGGCCAAGGTGGGCGGATCACCTGAGGTTGGGAGTTCAAGACCAGCCTGACCAACATGGTGAAACCTCGTCATTAAAAAAAAGAAGACACCTTACTTTTGTGTGTCTTTTTAAAAGCTCTGGTTAAGGGATTAATATCAGTAGGAACCTTGGATGGTGGAGTTTAATCTTATCATTTCACAAATGAGAAAACCAAGCATAAAAAAGGAAGAGATTTACCCAAGGTCACAGAACTAGTTATAGCAAAACTGCTAGAACTTAGTTCCCTCCACTCCTATTTGTAGTTCTTTTCATTCTGCTACTACTCTTTAGCCTGGCTTCTTTTTTTTGCAAATTTTGATTTCTAAATACCTTCAACATTTTAGCTGTTTTGAGTAAGGTTTCAACCTATTTTGGTGATGATAGTAAAACCATTTGGATACCCATATGGAAATGTGTAAAAGTTGGACTGTGCATTTTCTGATAGCATTACATATTATATCTTATAGTTTAGGAAAAACAAATAAACCTGGTGGTTTTACATCCCCTGTTGCCTGTGGGCTATCAGTGGATAACTTAGAAAACCTCAATTTTTAATGACATATTCAGAAAGTTTTTATTCAACTTCCAGAAATTAAAAGACATGATCGTTATTTTTCCTTGTATCAGTTTTTAGTAATCTAATGTAGATCACATAGCAATTTGATTATTTTGATCATATACTCATTTTCCTGTTTGTTAAATATACATTTTTCTTTTCTTTTCAGGCAATTTGACACCTCACTTGCAGAATATCTTTTCCAAGAGCCCCGTTTTTGCTGGGGTAGTTCTTCCTCAAGTTCAACATCCCAAAAATGCAAGAAAAAAATATCCAAAGCTTAATGGATTATTGGCAGATATAGTTCATGTATGTTGTTGTTTTCCCAAGACAGAGTCTCTCTCTGTCACCTAGGCTGGAGTGCAGTGGTGTAATCTCAGCTCACTGCAACCCCTGCCTCCCAGTTTCAAGAGATTCTCCTGCCTCAGCCTCCTGAGTAGCAGGGATTACAGGTGCCTGCCATAACACCCAGCTAATTTTTGTATTTTTAGTAGAGACGGGGTTTCACCATGTTGGCCATGGTTGGCCAGGCTGGTCCTGAATTCCTGAGCTCAAGTGATCTGCCCACCTTGGCCTCCCATAGTGCTGGGATTATAGGCATGAGCCACTGTGCCTAGCCAGTTCATGTATATTAAGAAATTAAGACTTTATATTGAGAAATTTGTACAAATTATAATAAAGTTTTAAATTATCGCTTTAATGAAATTCCAAAAGGATTCCTAAAGTAATCCATAGAAAGTTATGTCTTTAGTACAGAGAAATTAAAATTCATAGACTGTCAGAGCTGAAAGCCCCCTAAGATAATTAGGTTCATTATATTTAATTTATCTCTATTTTAATGAGAATTAGGTATAACCTGGAGAAATTCTAAGGACTTACTATGTTTATCACTACCTTTTAACATTTAGTTTAGCTAGGTGAGGGACCTATTTTTTGTACTAAAATATCTACAGGACATTAGCAGCTGTAGTTTTAACATCTGAAGATACACCCAGGCCAAAATCCATTTTGAATTGGAGAAAATAAAAACATTATGTAGCTCCTTTTTATTACTTAAAAATTTTTATTATTATTTTTATTTTATTTGTTTACTTATTTATTAATTTTTTGATATGGAGTCTCACTCTGTCACCCAGGCTGGATTGCAGTGGCATGATCTAGGCTCACTGCAACCTCCACCTCCTGGGTTCAAGCAATTCTCCTGCCTCAGCTTCCCAAGTAGCTGGGACTACAGGCGTGCGCCATCATGTCTGGCTAATTTTTGCATTTTTAGTAGAGACGGGGTTTCACTAGGTTAGCCAGCTAGTCTTCAACTCCTGACTGACCTCATGATCCGTCCGTCTCGGTCTCCCAAAGTGCTGGGATTACAGGCATGAGCCACTGTGCCTGGCCCCCCTTTTTTTTTTGAGACAAGAGTTTTGCTCTTGTTGCCCGGGCTGGAGTGCAGTGGCATGATCTCTGCTCACCACAACCTCCACCTCCCAGGTTCAAGCAATTCTCCGGCCTCAGCCTCCCAAGTAGCTGGGATTATAGTCATGCACCACCATGTCTGGCTAAGTTTGTATTTTTAGTAGAGATGGGGTTTCTCCATGTTGGTCAGGATGGTCTCGAACTCCTGACCTCAGGTGATCTACCTGCCTCGGCCTCCCAAAGTGCTGGGATTACAGGTGTGAGCCACCGCGCCTGGCCTTTATTTATTTATTTATTTTTAGATGGGCTCTCAGTCTTTCACCCAGGTCAGAGTGCAGTGGTGTGACCTCAGCTCACTGAAATTGTGACTTCCCAGGCTCAATTGATCCTCCCGACTCAGCCTCCTGAGTAGCCTGGACTACAGTTACATGCCAACATGCCAGATAATTTTTTTATTTTTTTGTAGAGATTGAGTTTCTCCGTGTTGCCCAGGCTGGTCTCAAACTCCTGGGCACAAACAATAGACTTGCCTCAGCCTCCCAAAATGTTGGGATTACATGCATGTGCCACAGTGCCACACGCCATTTAAAAAATTAGTTATTTTTTACAGTTTCACTCTGTTGCCCAGGCTGGAGTGCAAAGGTGTGATCATTGCTCACTGCAACCCCGAACTCCTATCCTCTAGTAATCCTTCGTCCTTGGCCTCTGAAAGTGGGATTATAGGCATAAGCAACTGTTCCTGGTCAAAATTTAAATTTTATTTAAACTGGCTGTGTACAGTGGCTCATGCCTGTTGTCCCAGCACTTTGAGAGGCTGAGGCAGGTGAATCACCTGAGCCAGCCCACCATGATGAAACCCCGTCTCTTCTAAAAATACAAAAATTAGCTGGGCATGCTGGTGTGTGCCTGTAGTCCCAGCTACAGTCTCCCAAAGTGCTGGGATTACAGGCGTGAGCCTCCTCACTCGGGAGGCTGAGACAGGAGAATCACTTGAACCTTGGAGGCGGAGGTTGCAGTGAGCTGAGATCACACCACTGCACTCCAGCCTGGGTGACAGAGCAAGACTCCATCTCAAAAATAAATCAATAAATTATAAAAAATAAAAACATAAAATTTATTTCATCTAGGTAATAAATATACCAACATATTTAGTACAAAACTCATTTATTTATTTTTATTTTGAATGTAATGGCAAGAATTGCAATTACTTTTGCACCAACCTAATATAAGAACTACATAATAATTATAGAGAAAATATAAAATACACAGTAAACAAAAAGAAGTTCAGATTTTCCCAATTCACATGAACCAGAAAAAAATTACTATTATCAATTTGGTTTATAGGCTTCTAAAGTTTTCCCAACCAAATATATGCATAGAAATTTATGCTTTTGAAAAGGTGTCTTACTTTACACACTGCTATGTAACCTGTTTATTTTTACTTACTGGTATATTGAAACATACTACAATGTTAATAAACATGGAACTATATGATAGTTTTCAGTGGTTGCATAGTATTTCATTGTATGACTATACAATTAGTTTATCTAGTTTTGTGTTTTTGGACATTTGAGTTACTTTTCATTTTTCACCCACTATTGGTAAAGATATGACAATGAAAATTTTTTTATACTTGTCTATATGCATTTGTTTTATTATTTCTTTGGGAGAAATTACTAGAAGAGGTTTCAGGGGCAGTGCCTCATGCCTATAATCCTAGCACTTTGGGAGGCTGAGGTAGGAGGATCAGTTGAGCCCAGGAATTCAAGACCCACCTGGGAAACATAGGGAGACCCTGTCTTTACAAAAAATAAAAAATTAGCCGGGCACAGTGGCATGCACCTATAGTCCCTGCCACTTGGGAGACTGAGGTGGGAGGATTGCTTGAGCCTGGGAGGTTGAGGCTGCAGTGAGCTGTGATTGTGCCACTGCACTCCAGCCTAGGCAACAGAGTGAGACCCTGTCTTAGAAAATGCATATATTGCCGGGCGTGGTGTCTCATGCCTATAATCCCAGCACTTTGGGAGGCAGAGGCCAGTGGATCACGAGGTCAAGAGATCAAGACCATCTCTACTAAAAATACAAAACTTAGCTGGGCATGGTGGTGCGTGCCTGTAATCCCAGCTACTCAGGAGGCTGAGGCAGGAGAATTGCCTGAACCCAGGAGGCGGAGGTTGCGGTGAGCCGAGATTGCGCCATTGCACTCCAGCCTGGGTAGCAAGAGCGAAACTCCATCTCAAAAAAAAAAAAAAAGAAATTGCATATATTAAAAGTGGATTTAGTAAGCCAAAGGATTTATATTTTTTAGAAGTTTTGATATTTTGCTGTTTCTTTTACAGATATTTTTTTCTTATTTGTATCCTCGCTCTCACTTTAGCGTTGGATATTATTATTGTTATTTGAGATGCCGTTTTGCTATGTTGCCCAGGCTAGTGAACTCAACCAATCCTCCTGCCTCAGCCTCCTGAGTAGCTTGGAGGTATTTTTTTTTAATTGTATTTGTATCATTACAGGAGAGAGAAACATTATGCTAATATTCATTGTCTATTTGCATTTCTTTTTTTAAGAATCTTTAGGTCAGCCATGGTGACTCATGCATGTAATCCCAGGACTTTGAGAGGCCAAGGCAGGAGGAGGATGGCTTGAGGCCAGGTGTTCCAGACCCAGCCTGAGCAATATAGTGAGATCCTGTCTCTAAACAAAATCATAGGGTGTCATGATACCCACTTGTATGTAGTCTTAGCTATTTGGGAGGCCGAGGCAGGAAGATCATTTGAACCCAGGAGTTTGAGACTGCAGTGGTCTATGCTTGCACCACTGCACTGTAGCCTGGGAGACAGAGCAAGACCCTGTCTAAAAAAAAGAAAAAAAGAGGCCAGATGCAGTAGCTCACGCCTCTAATCCTAGCACTTTGGGAGGCTGAAGTGGGTGGATCACCTGAGGTCAGGAGTTCGAATTAGCTGGGCGTTGTGGTGCATGTCTATAATCCCAGCTACTCGGGAGGCTGAGGAAGGAGAATTGCTTGAACCTGGGAGGTAGAGGTTGTAGTGAGCTGAGATTGCACACTGCACTGCCTGTGTGACAGGAGCAAGACTTCCATCTCAAAAAAAAAAAAAAAAAAAGAAAAGAAAAGAAAAGAAAAAGGAGAAAAGAATCCTTAACCTATTTGTCAACTAAAATATTTATCTTATTGATTTGTGAAAAACATACATTAATCTTTTGTCATAAATTTTGCAATACTTTTGCAAGACTTGCAATATGCTTTTTTTTTTAACAATTGGAATCATTTAATGATTTGGAATGCTACATTTATCTTAGACAAAATGCTTATACATGTGTAGTATGTTTTTGTTCCATTGATTTTTCTCTTTATTCTAGAAGTAGTACAACTTTGATTTATTATTCTAACTTTAAAATACATTTGAATATCTGATGTAGGGCATGTATTTTTCCTAGATATAAATTTTCTAAACAATGGTATTGGGGTGTAATTTATGGACAGTAAACTACACGTACTTAAAATGTAGAATTTGAAGAGTTTTGATACATGTATACACACATGAAACCACCACCATAATCAAGATACCTAACACACACACACACAGACACACACACACAACCTAACATCTCCATCACTCTCCAGAATTTCACTGTGTCCTTTTACAATTCATCTTTTCTTCCATTTCTGTCCCCAGATAACCACTGATTTGCTTTCTGTTCCCATAGATTAGTTTGCATTTTCTAGAATCTTATATAAACATAATCATACAGTAGGTACTCTTTTATATCTGACTTCTTCCAGTCAGCATAATGGTTTAGCGATTCGTTCATGTTTTTGTATATATTAGCAATTCCTTTTTTTGCAGAGTAGTGATTCATTATATGACTATGACACATTTAAAAAAATCCCTTCCCTGTTGATGGACATTTGGATTGTTTCCCATTTTTCGCTATCACAAATAAAGCTGCCATGAGAACATTCATGTTCATCTTTGTGTGGAACACACAATGTATTTTCATTCCTCTTGCAGAAATATCTAAGAACAGAATGGCTGGGTCATGGGTAGGCATATGTTTAATTGTTAAAGAAACTGCCAATCTGTTTCCCAAAGTGTCATATTTTACATTTTCCAAAGTAGGGCATTTATTTAAATTCCCTGAATTATATTCACAGAAGGACTGCCTCTAATTTGTCTGCCTCTATGATTTGGTCAGAACTTTTAGCATTTTTCTTATTATGTTTTAGTGATAGATTACTATTATGTTCTAAAATAAGCACATATTTTTAAGTAGTTGCAGTTTTAAAGACCTAGGTATTGCCACATCACTAAGTAGGTGATAGACTTAAATAATTCTCTTTTGTAAATCAGTGTTTTTTATTTTGGTTTAAAAAAAAAAAACTCATATAACATGGAATTTACCTTCTTCTTTTTTTTTTTGAGATGGAGTCTCGCTCTATAGCCCAGGCTGGAGTGCAATGGCGCGATCTTGGCTCACCTCAACCTCTGCCTCCCTGGTCCCATCAAGCAGTTCTCCTACCTCAGCCTCCTAAGTAGTTGGGATTACAGGCACGACCCACCATGCCCAGCTAGTTTTTGTATTTTTTAGTAGAGACGGGGTTTCACCATGTTGGCCAGTCTGGTCTTGAACTCCTGACCTCATGATCTCATGATCTGCCTGCCTCAGCCTCCCAAAGTGCTAGGATTATGGTGTGAGCCACCGTGCCTGGCTGGAATCTACCTTCTTACAAAATTATTAAGTGTACAGTATGGTATTTTTAACTACATGCACATTATTGTACAGCAAATCTCTAGATTTTTTTCTGCAAATCAACTTGAATATGCATTTTGAAATAAACAGAAACAAAATTTTATATACAATTATCTCGGATTTGTTGTATTTTAATTGTGGCTCCTGTGCTTAGGAGATCTTAGACAAATTACTTAATCTCTCTGTGCCTCAGTCTCCTCATCTGTATAGTGAGGGTAATAATAATAATACTTTGTAGGGTTGTTGTTGGGATGGAATGAAGAAAAAAGCTGGAACATTGTCTGGTATGTAGTAAGCATCAATAAAAGTTACTTGTCAGGCATGGTGGCATGTGTTTGTAGTTTGAGCTCCTCAAGAGGCTAAGGCAGGAGGATATCTTGAGCCAAAGAGTGTAAGGCTCCAGTGAACTATAATTGCACCACTGCACTCCAGACTGGGCGACAGAGTAAGAACTTGTCTGTCAAAAAATTTTAAAAGGCCAAGCATGGTGGCTGTCTTCTGTAATTCCAGTACTTTGGGAGACTGAGGTAGGAGAATCACTTGAATTCAAGAGTTCATCAGCCTCAAACATAACGAAACTCTCATCTCTACAAAAAAGAAGTTAACTGTTATTATGTTTTCCCTCCTTTCACAGGAAGAATGGAAATTATAAAGCAGATGCCTTTTATTCAAAACCTGTCTTTAATATTTTGATTAAAGAAATGTGTTCTATTTATAATTATTGTTATTTAACTACATGTAAATTTATTATGTACAACTTAACATTCAAAACTTCCTTCCATTGTTGTTTGTTTCTATACTAAGGCAGGGAAACAGAAAAGAGCTGTTTTAATAATGGGTTATTGGAAGATTTAGGGACTTGAATATTTGCAAAATTGTATTATGCTATAGAAAGAGCACTGGATTAGGAGTAAAACAACATGGGTTAAAACTCATGTTTGGCAAACTAGTAATCATGCTTCTACATCTGTAAAATGCAAATGATTATCCATGAACTTTCCACCTCACAGGGCAGAAAAGAGGATCAAAATGGTCTGATTAAATTTTGCTAATTTCAGCAGAAACAGACTGACCTCTGTTTTGACTAGAATCATAGGACATTTAACCTATAATAATGTTTTGCAAGTGCAAATTCCTTAGGGAAGTAAACAGTCAGAACTTACTACCAGAAATTCCTGTGGTCTAACTCCATCTTTTCAAGAATGCCTTTTGATCTGGTTAATTACTTCTTAATTTGTCTAATAAATTTAATTTTTACCATATGGAACACTGTTAAGAGCTCACTTATTAAAATCTTTTTCCTTTTCTAGGCTTGTTTACAAATTGATCCTGCTGACAGGATAACATCTAGTGATCTTTTGCATCATGAGTATTTTACTAGAGATGGATTTATTGAAAAGTATGCATTTTGAGTTAATGTGTTCTTTTTTAAAGGATATTTTACTAGCAGGAAAATTGCTATATAGGTTACTTTTACATAACAGAAATATTCAGTTTAACAAAAATTATTGATTTACTGTATCAGGTATTGACTAGGAAGATAGTAGACTTAATAAGTGTCATGAATAAAAAGTCTAATAATAGGATGGACACAGTAGCTCATGCCTATAATCCTCAAGGATTCAAAGAGAATCCTTGAGGGTGACTAGAACTTCAAGCATTTCAGGATTATGCTTGTAATCCCAGCACTTTGGGAGGCTGAGGTGGGCAGATTGTTTGAGCCACAATGTTCATGACCTGCCTGGGCAACATAAGGAGACCCCTGTCTCTACAAAAAATATAAATTAGCTAGGTGTGGTGGCACACGCTTAAAGTCCCAGCTACTCAGGAGGCTGAGGTGGGAGGATGGCTTGAACCCTGGAGGCGGAGTTTGCAGTGTGCTGAGATTGCACCACTGCACTCCAGCCTAGATGACAGGTGGAGACCCTATCTAAAAAAAAGAAAGAAGAAAATCTAATAATAAAAAGTAATTACAGTTAACATTCATTATACAGTTACCATGTCCTAGGCAGTGTACTCAGCTCTTTACATCCTACAGTTTCAGTGTCATCATAGACCAGAGATAACATTAAATAAGCAATCAACATTTCTTAGCTTTATTCCTGTTTGGACCTCTGACTCAGATAATAGTCTGGTTTTTCCTCTTGTAATGACATCCATTTATCAAAATTAAGATGTACTGCCCAAATGATTTTTCTACTTATTCTCTGTTGTAGTGCCTATTGTCTTTGTTTTTTTTTGTTTGTTTTTTGTTTTTTTTGAGGCAAAGTCTCACTCTGTTGCCCAGGCTGGAGTACAGTGGCACAATCTGAGCTCACTTCAACCTCCATCTCCTGGGTTCAAGCAATTCTTCTACCTCAGCCTCCCTAGTAGCTGGGATTACCGGCACACACCACCATGCCCGGCTAATTTTTGTACTTTTAGTAGAGATGGGGTTTCACCATGTTGGCCAGGCTGGTCTTGAACTCCTGACCTCAGGTGATCCACCTGCCTTGGCCTCCCAAAGTGCTGGGATCACAGGCGTGAGCCATCATGCCCAGCCACAGTGCCTGTTGTCACTCTACCCATGAAATTGGAAGTTCTCTGAAAACAGGTGCCATGCTTCTTATAGATCTTCTGTGCCCCACATTGTCTATAACATGCTCAGCATATAATCTATATTACAATTTAGATTCATGAATCAGCCATGTTTCTTAAAAAAAACCACCATTTTCTTTTCTGTTTTATTATTATACTTTAAGTTCTGGAGTACATGCAGGTTTGTTACATAGGTATACACGTGCCATCATGGTTGGCTGCATCCATCACCCCGTCATCTACATTAGATATTTCTCTTAATGCTGTTCCTCCCCTAGCTCCCCACCTGCCAACAGGCCCCAGTGTGTGATATTCCCCTCCCTGTGTCCACATGTTCTCACTGTTCAACATCCACTTATGAGTGAGAACATTCAGCGTTTGGTTTTCTATATTTATGTTAGTTTACTGAGAATGATGGTTTCCAGCTTTATCCATGTCCCTAAATAGGGCATTAACTCATCCTGTTTTATGGCAGCATAGTATTCCATGGAAAAATGCCATTTTCTATTTGGGCTTTGAAAGAAACAGGAAAAGTTTCTCATTTACTGCAAAACCATTCAGTTTGTTTTGGACATGACATTAGAAAGATGGACATCCATTAAAAATATGATGGAGCTAAGGTCAGATATGGAAAAGTCCAGGAACTGCTCTTGGAGATAGATTAAATAGAAAAAAGCAAAGAGAATCCTTGAGGGTGACTAGAACGTCAAGCATTTCAGGAATTTTACTCGAAAAAAATAAGGTGATATATTTAAAGTGCCATTGGCCAGCCACAGTGGCTCATGCCTGTAATCCCAGCACTTTGGGAGGCCAAGGTCGGCGGATCAAATGAGGTCAGGAGTTCAAGATCAGTCTGGCCAACATGGTGAAACTCCGTCTCTACTTAAAATGTAAAATATTAGCTGGGTGTGGGCATGTGCCTGTAGTCCCATCTGCTCAGGAAGCTGAGACAGGAGAATTGCTTGAGACCGAGAGGCTGAGGCTGCAGTGAGCCAAGATTGCACCACTGCACTCCAGCCTGGGTGACAAAGTGTAACTCTATCTCAAAAAAATAAAAGAATAAAAAATTTTTTAAAAAGTGCCATTGATAAAAAGCGGGTGTTATTGGCTAGGCATAGAAGCTCATGCCTGTATTCCCAGCACTTTGGATGGCTAAAGCAGGTGGATGGCTTGAACTTAGGAGTTCAAGACCAGCCTTGACAACATGGCAAAACCCTGTCTCTATGAAAAATAACAAAAATTATCCGGGCATGTTGGAGTATACCTGTAGTACCAGCTACTAGGGAGGCTGAGGTAGGGGACTGCTTGAGTCTAGGAGGTCAAGGTTGCAGTGAGCTGTGAGTGTGCCACTGCACTGCAGCCTCAGCAACCCTGTCTCCAAAAAAAAAAGATGCCAGTTATTGACTTAAAAAGTTGCTTCATAACAGTTCTACAAAAACTAAGATATTAGGCTTTTATTATTGTGGGGTGAAATTACCTTGAGTTCAATTTATAGAATCCTCAGAAAATGTTTGGGTAAGACCTTTTCCTTTGATAAGATGCCTCTTTAGTTTTTGGACCTTCTGTAGTTCAAGGGAGATTTGACAGAAGTGTGACATTTTCTCATCTAACCAAACTAATCACACTGGTTCTTTATTTTTTTTCATCTCTTCACACTACTTGTCATTAGGCCTGTGCCCTGCACAGCACTGGCAAGAGTGGGCTGCACAAGGGAAGAATTCATTCACGGGCTGATGATGTTTTAAAACTTTCTCAAATTGATAGTTCTAACTGCTTCAAGGGGGGGACTTGTGCAGTTCAGGGAAGGGGTGGGAAGGAGACTTTTCAGTATAGACTTTTGAGCTTTGAACAACATGAATGGACTTTCTAATTAAAAAACTCTTAAAAAACCAAAACAATCTCTCTCCAATATGAATATATTCTGTTAACGTTTCTCTAGAGTAAGATTTCAGAAGCTAGTTAGTTCATTTTTAAAGTTCTGTTACTTTAAAGAACCACAAAAAAGGCAAAAGTGATGTGAATCTTCCTTGAAAATAATAGTATCTTTATCAAAATTAAAAGCAATTTTTAAAGCAAAGTTTATATCACAAAAGGAATCTAATGAGTATAAATCTATTTTGTAAAATTTTATATAGTAGATCCCATAGTATAATTTTTGAAAGATATATCTTTACCAGAAAGCAACTTTTATTAGGTAAATGTTGGGCCATTTCTTGGCATGCATTATAATTAGACAGCATTATTTATGCTGTAACTGAAATATAAATTAATTGGATGAAATGGTTCATTCAAGATAAAATACTCCATCTGCGTATATAAAAAGATTACTCGTTGCTATTGCTTGTTTTATCAGATTCATGCCACAACTGAAAGCTAAATTACTGCAGGAAGAAAGAGTCAATCCACTAATAAAGCCAAAAGAGAATTCTAGAGAAAATGAACTTAGGAGAGATGAAAGAAATGTAGTTTATAGCAATACACTGCTAAGTGGCTCAGTTTTGGGAAAGGTAAGAACTTTGGTTTTGTTTCAGCTAGAATAATTATATTATAGTTAGACTCTAGTGACAACTGTTCTCATGACTCAGATTTTGGATGTATTTATTCCAGGAAATAGAAAAAGAGAAAAAGCCCAACGAGATCAAAGTCAGAGTTACTAGAGTCAAAGGAGGAAGAGGAGATACCTTAGAACTGAAAAAGATGGACTATGAAGGTGGACTTTGTCAACAGGATCCACATGAAAATGTTCATGCTATGGCTCAGGATACAAAACTTGTAACCAGTGAACCACCAAACCCTATCAACCCCAGCACTGACTATAATGGCTTGAAAGAGTATCCACATTGCAGAAGTTCTGTGACAATGCCACCCATCAATCTAACTAACAGTAATTTGATAGCTGCAAATCTCAATTTAAATCTCTTTCACCCCAGTGTGAGGTGAGCTGTAGCAGAGAAGAAACCTAAATAATACAAAGTTCCTGTGTAATGGTGTTTCAAATGTTCATAGTGTCTGTATGTAAACTGAACTTGAAGAAAATATATTGAAGTTAAAACTATAATGGGCCATTTACTGAGTGCTTCTTATGAACGCTGTAGAAGAAATTAACTTTTCTTGGCCATATAGATGTTTAAATTTTCACTAATGTCTTTTGGAAAAACCTCATTTAAAAAAAAAGACCCTTAGAAAAATGTTTTTCTTTTTGAAGAGAAAAAAAGGTGATATGACCTACGTTCTGGTATCAGTGTGCCTTGGTATAACAAAATAAACTTTATTTCTATATCATAGCAAATTCTCTAAGTGGAGAAAGGATAGTAAATAATCTTTCATAAGTCAGATAGCCTTTCAAGATGAAATATTCAAGATGAAATCTAAGTTTTAGATTTAACCTCTGATACAGATTGAGAGACTGGTCCATGAGTCTGGTTAATCAAGGGCTGTATGATGGATGGTGAGGGTCTGTCCAGCAAGGCAGTAGGGCCACTTCAAAATTTAGGGAGACTACTATCTTTCTAAGGGAAGAAAGAGACTGGGTTCATTAGCCCAAGAGGATTCTAGCAGACTGGTTTGGGCTACAGATTGTGAAGCCCAGTGGTCTGCAGAAGTGAGCAAGTGGACATGTCTGTGTCAGTCCAAAGGTACAGCAGGCTACAGACTGCAAGAGCCGAATTGTTTGTGAGGTGATCCCAAAACCATGGTGCCAGTAACAATGGTTGTAAGCCAGTCAGTCTTGGACAGTAAGTTCATAAATTGAGAAAGCCAGTAGTTAAGAGATCCAAATTCAGAACAGATAGATGGGGACAAATAGGCCAGCAGGAGTGACCCCCCAACATGCCTGTCACCACTGATGTTAGCATGCATTAATTGTTCTCTGCCCTGTTACCACCTCTCTCCTTAGAGCAGTTGGTAGGTAAGGATTGACTATTGCATTTTGGTACTCAGTGTTCAAACAGTAGACTTCCATGCCATAATTTATTCATTCTTGAAGCTAAATTAAAGGCATTTCGGCTGGGCACAGTGGCTCATGCCTGTAATCCCAGCACTTTGGGAGGCCGAGGTGGGTGGATCACTTTAGTGCAGGAGTTTGAGACTAGCCTGGCCAAAATGGCAAAACCCTGTCTCTAGAAAAAATACAAAAATTAGCTGCGTGTGGTGGAGCACACCAGTAATCCCAGCTGCTTGGGAGGCTGAGGCAAGAGAATTACTTGAACCTGGAAGACAGAGTTTGCAGTGAGCTGAGCTTGTGCCTCTGTACTCTAGCCTGGGTGACAGAGTGAGATTCCGCCTAAAAAAAACAAAAAGCAAAAAACACCAAGGCATTTCTGGGGAGTTCTAATAGCTTCTTATTCATTTTTAAATATTAGGTTAACTGAAAGAGCAAAAAAGCAACGAACTTCTTCACAATCTACTGGACAAGTTATGCCTAATAGCAGGCAAGAGGATACGGGTCCTATTCAAGTAAGGCAAGAAGCTACTCATTAAAATATGACCTCTTTTAACATTACTTCTTTTTTCCTTTTCTCGACCTTTAGGGCTCTAGAACTTTTTTGTTTGTTTGTTTGTGTGTGTGTGTGTTTGAGACAGGCTCTCTCTCTATTGCCCACACTGGAGGGTAGTGGTACGATCTCAGCTAACCGCAGCCTCAACTTGCTGGGCTCAAGCAATCCTCCCACCTCAGACTCCCAGGTAGCTGAGACTCCAGGTATGTGCCACTATGCCCAGATAATTTTGTTCATTTTTTGTAGAGACACAGTCTTACTATGTTGCCCAGGCTGGTCTCAAACTCCTGGGCTCAAGGGATCCTCCTACCTCAGCCTCCCAAAGGTGTGAGACACCGCACCCAGCCTCTAACACCTTCAAAAATGTGCTCTTAGTTTCTTTTTTTTATTCCTGAGATGAAAATAGGCCATTATTTTCTTAGTGCTTTCACAACTTTAATTAACTTCATATGTCTTAATTTATATATTTAGTATGTGATTTAGGCAGAGTAAGTTAAGGTTTCCACCTTTAGAAGTCACAAGTTTTGTTTTTTCCACTTTCAAAAAATGTTTTTAATATCTTACTTTATGGACTAAAAACAATTGCCAAAGAAACACAACTTACTTTCACTAGAAAAAGCAATCAATGTAATTTATCCCCCTCTCAACTTTTGTTTTGTTTTGTTTTTGGTGTATTTTGTGTTATTCATCTCTGATGGGATCTCCCAGCTTTTTACATATGAAAGTGATTTATTCAAAATTGAAGCACAGTGTTAATTATAATAATAAAAACTGAAAACAATACAAATGTCCAAGAGCAGGTGACTAATTAAGTACATTAGGAACATTCATATGGTGGGATACTACACGTTACATTGTGGAAGAATGTTCATCGAGCTAGACAAGATTTTATGATGTTTTCAAATGAACAAAAATCTGGTAACACAGAATGTTTTCCACATGCTGGATGTGCAACTAATTTTTTTCCTTTGGGTATTCCCCGCGTTTACAAAGCATATCATTTTGTAGATAGGTAAATAGGTTGTTAAGAAAATGAACTGCCGCAATTTGTTCAAAGTCAGAGTGGAATGAATAGTATTAAAAAGGAAAAGTTGGCCAGGCGCGGTGGCTCACACCTGTAATCCTAGCACTTTGGGAGGCTGAGACAGGCAGATCATCTGAGGTCAGGAGTTCGAAACCAGTTTGGCCAACATGATGAAACCCCATCTGTACTACAAATACAAACAAATTAGCTGGGCATGGTGGCAGGCAGCTGTAATTCCAGCTACTTGGGAGGCTGAGGCAGGAGAATCGCTTGAACCTGGGAGGTGGAGGTTGCAGTGAGTCAAGATTGCGCCACTGCACTCCAGCCTGGGTGACAGAGCAAGATTCCGTCTCAAAAAAAAAAAAAAAGAAGAAAAGAAAAAGAAAAATTTGGTTCTGGCCAGGCACAGTGGCTTCTACCTATAATCCTAGCGTTCTGGAAGGCCAAGCTGGTAGGATTGCTTGAGCCCAGGAATTTGAGAACAGCCTGAACAATGTAGCAAGACCTTGTCTCTACAAAAAAATGACATAAAATAAATTAGTCATATGTGGTGGCATGTGGCTGTGGTTTCAGACGGGGTAGGATGAGGTGGAAGTATGGCTTGAGCCTTGGAGGTTGAGGCTGCAGTGAGCACCAGTGTATTCCAGCCCAGGCAACAGAACAAGACTCTGTCTCCATAATAATAATAAAGATAATAATAAGGCCGGGTGCAGTGGCAGATGCTTGTAATCTCAGCACTTTGGGAACCCAAGGCAGAAGGACCACTGGAGCCCAGGAGTTTGAGGTCAGCCTAGTCAACATAACAAGACCCTATCTCTCCAAAAAATCTAAAAATTAGCTATGTATGGTGGTGCATGCCTGTAGTCCCAGCTACTCAGGAGACTGAGATGGAAAGATCACTTGAGCCCAGGGGGTTGACACTGCAATGAGCTGTGATCGTGCCAATGCACTCCAGCTGGGCGACAGAGCAAGACTCTGTCTCAAAATAATGTTATTATTATTGTGGTCCTCATGAACAAGACTATTATGCTCAGAATATTAAATGTGCTAAAATGTTTGCTTTATGAAACTTTTATTGGAGTTTGATCTGTTGATATGTTCAACAGTATTCTATTCTAAATCTTCTTAATTATTGAAATAATTGTTATATCTATCTTATACCATCCAAATGGCTAGCAATTCTAGGCTTGTCATTCTATAAATAGTTAGACACATTTCTTCAAAATAATACTTGTTTATTTGTTTGTTTAGAGCCAAATGGAGAAGGATATATTTAATGAGCAAACAGGTCACAGTGACCAAATGGCAAATGTGAACAAAAGGAAGCTGAACTTTTCCAGATCTGACAGGAAAAAATTCCATTTTCCGGAATTGCCTGTCACAATACAGTCAAAAGATACAAAAGTAATGGAAGGTACACATTTGTTGCATAGCTTTACAAATATTATCTCTTTTATAAGATTTTTTCATAATACAACTTATATTTTATAGTGCAGCTTAGATAGAGAACAGTAAATTGGTGAGAAAACCATTTCAGCGGATGAGATTTTCTCCCCATTGTCAAATAAGGGGTACAAGTTTAAGGAGATAATTTTAAAGAGGCATAGGCTTGTAATCCCAGCATTTTGGGAGGCCAATGTAGGAGGATTGCTTGAGCCCAGGAGTTTGAGACCAGCCTGGGCAACATAGCAAGACCCTGTCTCTACAAAAACGAGCATGGTGGTGTATGCCTGTAGTCCCAGCTAATTGGAAGGCTGAGGTAGGAGGACTGCTTGACCCAGGAGGTTGAGACTGCAGTGAAACATGATCACGCCACTCCACTCCACTCCAGGGTGACATAGTGAGACCCCGTCTCTAAAAAAAAATTTTTTTAATAAAAAAAATAATAAAGAGAAGACAGCTTTAAAGGGAAAATTTTTAAATTTTATTTATTTATTTAATTTTTTAAAAGACAGTCTCACTTTGCCACCCAGGTTGGAGTATAGTGGAATAATCTCAGCTCAGTGCAACTGCCGCCTCCTGGGTTCAGGTGATTCTCATGCCTAGCCTCCTGTGTAGCTGGGGCTACAGGTGCCTGCCACCACATAGTAGAGATGGGGTTTCACCATGTTGGCCAGGCTGGTCTTGAACTCCTGACCTCAGGTGATCCAACCATTTTGGCCTCCCAAAGTGCTGGGATTACAGGCATGAGCCATTGCAGCTGGCCGCAAAGGATAATTTTTTTTATTAGCTCAATGTTGTTGAACTGTTAAAGCAGTGTTTGAGAAATTTGGTTTAGTATATGACCTGGAGTAAAATGTCCTTCTATGTTTCTTCATAATCATTTACCCATATAGTATCAGGAATTTTATATATATTTTGGGCATTCAAAGACTTAACAGGTAAGATTTATAGGCTGGCTGCAGTGGCTCACACCTGTAATCCCAGCACTTTGGGAGGGCAAGATGGGCAGATCACCTGAGGTCAGGAGTTTGAGACCACCCTGGCCAATATGGCAAAACTCCATCTCTACTAAAAATACAAAAATTAGGTGGGCGTGATGGCTCATGCCTATAATCCCAGCTACTTGGGAGGCTGAGGCAGGAAAATAGCTTGAACCTGGGAGGCAGAGGTTGCAATGAGCTGAGGTTATGCCACTGCACTCCAGCCTAGGTGACAGAACAAGACTCCATCTCAGCTGGGCATGGTGGTTCATGCCTGTAATCCAGGCACTTTGGAGGCCAAAGCGGGTGGATCACCTGAGGTCGGGAATTCAAGACCAGCCTGACCAACATGGTGAAACCCTGTCTTAATTTAAAAAGAAAAAAAAAAAAAGATTTATAAACAACATTTATCTTGGAATGAAATTTATTTTTGTCTTGAATAAATGTTCTTATTCTTCTTTAAAGAACAGTGACACCTTGTGAAAAGTTAATATAATAGCAAGAATATAATCCTTGTACAGTTCAAGAGGAATTATCTGATCCACTGAACAGTTACACTGAGAATAGTAAAATAAAATGAATGTCTTATTTTAATACTTGGTAGACTATTTGTAAAGTTATAAAACAAATAATTTACAATATTTTACCATTACAACTTATAATTTATTTTGTTCCTTTGTAATAAACTGAGAAACTAACTTAGTGGATATCAGAATTTCTATTTGAAATTCTTAAAAAAGAAAGTAAAATTTCAAAGTAAGAATAACAAATTTTCATTGTTTTGTATATTTTTGCAAAAGCTAAACAGATAAAAATGCTGAAGAGGGAGTCAAAGAAAACAGATTCACCTAAAATACCAACTTTACTTAATGTGGATCAAAATCAAGAAAAACAAGAGGTAACTCTTTTTGTATATATCTTTTACTAAGGCATGTTGTTTAGAGCACTTGATTCAGTGTATAAATTTAGCTATCACTATTGGAAAGCTATATAAAAATTCAAAATTCTATAATCTTTGAACTCGAGAAACGGATCTGTATTTTCCTAGAATAACCAATTAATAAAAGTTTCTAAAAGTCATTTTTTGGGGGTAATGTTGAGTGATTAGAATGCATGGCACCCGTGGAAAATAGAATCTGTATTATGTGTAGTGTCAGATATCAGGCAGGTAAGACAGACTAGTGAAAATGATTAATAGTATAAATACATGTTTATATGGCCACAAGCATGTGTGTCTTTGTCTTCAGCCTCTTCCTTCCTTGTTGTTTTCTCTCCAGTTTATTCCCCTGTCTCTGCTGTCTGCCTACTGTCCTATTTTCACGAATATTTGCTCTCAGCTAACTATCAGGTAATCTTGTTGAAATATCCCCAGTCCCCACCGGGCACTGTGGCTTACGCCTGTAATCACAGCACTTTAGGAGGCCAAGACGAGCAGATCATGAGGTCAGGAGATGGAGACCATCCTGGCCAACATGGTAAAACCTTGTCTCTACTAAAAATACAAAAAAATTAGCTCGGCATGGTGGTGTGCGCCTGTAGTCCCAGATACTTGGGAGACTGAAGCAGGAGAATTGCTTAAACCTGGGAGGTGGAGGTTGCAGTGAGCCAAGATTGCACCACTGCACTCCAGCCTGGCAACAGAGCAAGACTGTCTCAAAAAAAAAAAAAAAAAAAAAAAAAATTCCCAGTTCTTACCCAGCAGAGAGATTCTCAAATTTTATTTGAAAATCTTGAAGCCTGTAATATCCAAATTAATACTCTATAAAGACAGTCTTTTTAAAAAAATTTTGCTAACTCTCCTTAATTTAGCAGGGGTGATAAAGACAGTCTTTTAAGAGAAAGAGATTGTGCTGAGCACCCACTGAATTAAATCATATCAATTCTGCACTTGTGAGATCATCTCTGTATGTGATTTATCAACTTCTGTTTTTTAAAAAATAAAATGTATTAGTCTTACTTGTGATAAAATTAGTATATACTTTTTTTTTTTTTTTCTGAGACGGAGTTTCGCTTTTGTTACCCAGGTTGGAGTGCAATGGTGCGATCTCACCGCAACCTCCGCCTCCTGGGTTCAGGCAATTCTCCTGCCTCAACCTCCCAAGTAGCTGGGACTACAGGTGTGCGCCACCATGCCCAGCTAATTTTTTTGTATTTTTAGTCGAGACGGGGTTTCACCATGTTGACCAGGATGGTCTCGATCTCTTGACCTTGTGAGCCACCCGCCTGGGCCTCCCAAAGTGCTGGGATTATATAGTACATAATTATTAAGAAAATTTGAAGAAATTAAACATAGAAAAAATAAACTATGTAAGAAGACATTTTAACAAGGCTACTTGGTCTCTATAATATTGGATAAGAGGGTTATTAGACCCTATTAGATGTGTTCTCACTGTGACATTTAGGACTATCTCTTTAGTCTTGGCCTAGAGCTTGTTAAGAACTCCACAGTCCACTTTGCGGAAAAGAAATGTCGTAGAACAAGAAAGCCATTAAGCTAGGCACAATGGCTCTCACCTGTGCCAGAGCCTCCCAAAATCCGAGCACTTTGGGAGGCTGAGATGGGTGGATCACCTGAGGTCAGGAGTTCAAGACCAGCCTTACCAATGTGGTGAAACCCTGTCTCTACTAAAAATAAAAAAATTCACCAAGTGTGATGGCAGGCAGCTGTAATCCCAGCTACTCAGAAGGCTGAGACAGGAGAATTGCTTGAACCTGAGAGGCAGAGGTTGCAGTGAGCCGGGATCACACCATTGCACTCCAGCCTGTGCCACAAGAGAAAACTCTGTCTCAAAAAACAAACAACGAAAAAAGAGTTCTTAAAGGAGATCTAGTCACTATTATGAATAATGGAGACCTATTGACTAACATACTGACATTTATCTTAAAAATTTTAAAGTACTTTTAAAGTAATTTCCCCAAAGGTTATAGCTCTTTTTATGTAACTTGCCCTTGATTGTATTGTCTGATATTTTAGTTGAAGACCATACCTAAGGGTGTGGATATGGGGAGAGAAAGTTGTCCCCTTATTCTATAAGTAGGATCCTGTGCATACTATTTTGGTACTTATTTTAATTATTGTCATGATCAATTATTACATAATTGCTAATGACATGTGAACTTTTTGCCAATAACATAATGAAACTTCAGCAATGAATGCATTGGTATGATGGATATTTTATTGGCTAATACTCATCAAAAGGTATTGGTCTGGCAAGTGTGTTTGAGTTTTATTTCTGGTCTGTTTTTATTTTCCACATATGATTCTATCTTGTAAATCTTTTTTACAAAGCACTTTTTTAAAGCAAATGGTTGAAGTAATGAGTTGCTTACATCAAAATAAAAAGGTTAGTTGTGGTGGTGTGCACCTGTAGTCCCTGAGCTACTTGGGAGGCTGAGGTGCAAGGAACACTTGTGCCCAGGAGTTTGAGGCTGGCCTGGGCAATGTAGCAAGACCCTAACTCTTAAAAAAGGAGGGGAAGGAGGAGAATGAAGGAAGGGAGGGAGGGAGAGAGGGAAGAAGAACAACAACCAATGAAAAATGTGAGGTAAGAGGATTGTTTGAGCCCAGGAGTTCGAGGTCCCTCTAGGCAACATAGTGAGACCCTGTATCTTAAAAAAAGAAGAAGAAGCCGATGAAAATAAAAGAAAGAAGGGAAAAAAAAATGAAATTACCCATTAGGCTAGAACATGATGACATTGGGATAGGTCTCAGAGAGTCTTTGAAAAAAGATATAGTCTTGATTTCTGTGTTTATTATTTACATTCCAAGCGTGTAGACTTTTCATCCATTCTCCCTGAGGAGACCGATCTCCAGAGTAAAAATAGTTTAAAGTGTAGTTTCAGTGCCTACTAAGACCACATGTTTGGTAAACTGTTGCAGAGTCAACATTTTCCTCAAATTCAAGGTTATGAAAGTGATAGCTTTTAATTTTTTGAGACAGTCTTGCTGTGTTACCTAGGCTAGAGTGTAGTGGTGCGATCTCAACTCACTGCAACCTCTGCCTCCCAAGTTCAGGCAATTCTTCTGCTTCAGCCTTCTGAGTAGCTGGGATTACAGGCAGGCACCACCACACTGGCTAATTTTTTATATTTTTTAGTAGAGACAGGGTGTCGCTATGTTGGCCAGGCTGGTCTCAAACTCCTGACTTCAGGTGATCCACCCACGTCAGCCTCCCAAACTCAGGAGGCTGAGGCAGGGAATTGCTTGAACCTGGGAGATGCACACACACACACACACACACACACACACACACACGTGTTGCCGGGCGTGGTGGTGAGTGCCTGTAATCCCAGCTACTCGGGAGGCTGAAGCAGGAGAATTGCCTGGACCCAGGAGGCGGAGGTTGCAGTAAGCTGAGATCGCACCATTGCACTCCAGCCTGGATGACAAGAGCAAAACTCAGTCTCCAAAAAAAAAAAAAAAGAAAGTTGACTACATTCAGAAAGTGTAAATTAAAGGGCTCTAAATGGAAATTGGGCCAGGTTACCAAAAACAATTAGCAGTATTGCATAGGGAAGCAATTGAGAACTCTTAAGTGATACGAGAGCCATAAATTATAAGATGATAAAAGACTGCAAGAAAGCATTCTTTGATTTTAATAAAAGACAAAAGTATAGAAACAAATCAAATATCCTACTATCTCAGTAACTTCCCAACTGCCCACCTGCTCCTCCTGCAGGGTTAGGGAAAGCTGATAAGTGATGACTGTGTAGAGACAGATGATTATGATGATTTTTCTTCTTTTCTGAAAAAGTCATCCCACGGTTAGATAACCAGAAGAATGCACTTATGATGGGTGGGATAAAAACCAAACTAAAGAGAAGAAAGGAAAAGACTAGTGAAAGAGCTCTTCAAACTATATTCTATTCAAACTGGTCCAATATATTGTCATTCACTCTAGGATTGCTAAAAAATTATTGGGTGTTATTGATTAGTTTTGAATTATTATTTGAAAATCACTCAAAAGGCTATGCTAGGTTGTCTATACTAGACAATCCTAGCATCCTTCATAAAAATGTAAGGCAAAAAAATAACAAATTTGTTTATCTTAATTTTGAATCCTGGAGACTTAGAAAGAATCCCAAAAGTTGATTTACAGTAATCAGGAAAAACGGTATATAATCACTGTGATTTTGTTATTTTATCCAGATAGTTTCTTTTTTTCTTTCTTTTTTTTTTTTTTGAGACGAAGTCTTACTCTGTCACCCAGGCTGGAGTGCAATGGCACAATCTTGGCTCACTGCAACCTCTGCCTTCCTAGTTTAAGCGATTCTCCTGTCTCAGCCTCCCAAGTAGCTGGGATTACAGGTGTGCATCACCACACCCAGCTAATGTTTCTATTTTTAGTAGAGACTAGGTTTCACAATGTTGGCCAGGCTAGTCTTGAACTCCTTATCTCAGGTGATCTGCCTGCCTCAGCCTCCCAAAGTGCTGGGATTACAGGTGTGAGCCACCATGCCCAGCCTGGTTTCTTAGTAATAATTTGATGAACCCTGTAAACATTGGGAAAGCAAGAGATATGATGTTCTTGTAGTTCACACACTTGGGGTCACTTCTTAGACCTCTTCTCTTTTTTGTCTACACTTCCTGGGTAATTTTCTTTTTTTGAGACAGAGTCTCCCTCTGTTGCCCAGGCTGGAGTGTAGTGGTGTGATCTCAGCTCACTGCAACCTCTGCCTCCTGGGTTCAAGCAATCCTCCTGCCTCAGCCTCCTGAGTAGGTGGTATTACAGGCACATGCCATCATGCTCAGCTAATTTTTGTATTTTTAGTAGAGACGGAGTTTCACCATGTTGGTCAGGCTGGTCTTGAACTCTTCACCTCATGATCCGCCTGCCTTGGCCTCCGAAAGTGCTGGGATTACAGGCATGAGCCACCATGCCTCGCCCCTCCCTGGGTGATTTTATCCGGACTCAGGACTTTGAATGCCATTTATATGCTGATGATTCTCAAGTGTCTCTTTCCAGCCTTGACTTCACCCGTAAACTCCAAACTCAGATTTCCAATTGCCCATTCAACAGCTATATTAAAATATGTAATAGGTATCTCAAACTTAACATGTCTAAAATTAAGGTCTTGATCTCTTTCCCACTTTCATATGCTTTCTTGAGTGTTTTCTGCACTTTAGTTAAGGGCAACTCCATTCTTCAAATTGCACAAAAGAAAAATCTTGTAGTAATCCTCAACTCCTGTTTTCATTTTTTTTTAAAGAGAACGGGGTCTCGCTATATTGCCCAGCCAGGTCTTGAACTCCTGGGCTCAAGCTATCCTCCCGCCTCTGCCTCCCTAAGAGTTGGGATTACAGGTGTGAGCCACAGTGCCCGGCGACTCCTCTCTTTTGCTTATACCCTATATCCTTTCAGCTCTATCTTCAAAATATTTCCAGGATCTGACCATCTTATGCCGCTTCACTGCTATTCACAACGTCTGTTGTCTGGATTTTGTAGAAGTCTCCTAACTGATCTCCTGCCCTCACCTCTGTTCAACCTTCAGTTTTTTACCAAGGTGTTCTTTTTTTTTCTTTTTTGAGATGGAATTTTGCTCTTGTTGCCCAGGCTGGAATGCAATGGCGCAATCTTGGCTCACTGCAACCTCCACCTCCCCGGTTCAAGCAATTCTCCTGTCTCAGCCTAGCCTGCAGGCTCTTTTTTTTTTTTTTTTTCTTGAGATAGAGTCTCACTCTGTCGCCCAGGCTAGAGTGCAGTGGGGGTGATCTCGGGTCACTCCAACCTCTGCCTCCTGGGTTCAAGCAATTCTCCTGCCTCAGCTTCCCAAGTAGCTGGAATTACAGGCACCTGCCACTGCACCTGGCTAATTTTTTTTATTTTTAGTAAAGATGGGGTTTCACCATTTTGGCCAGGCTGGTCTTGAACTCCTGAACTCCAGACCTCATGACCCACCCACATCGGCCTCCCAAAGTGCTGGGATTACAGGCATGAGCCACCATGCCTGGCTCGCCTGGGTGTTCTTAATAAAACTTGTCAGACCAGGTGTGGTCATTCACGCCTATAATTCCAACACTTTGGGAGGCTGAGGTGAGAAGATCCGCTGAGGGCAGGAGTTTGAGATCAGCCTGGGCAGTATAGTGAGACCTCACCTCTATAAAATTTTTTTTAAAAAACCCCTAAATCAGATGATGTCGTTGCTCTGTCCAAAACCCTTATAGCTTCCAACTTCACTCAGAGTAAAAGCCATAGACATTACAATAACTTATATGGTCCTACCCAGTATGCTCTGCTCCTTCTTTGACACCATTTGTTATTTTCCTCCGTACTGCTCATTATGTTCCAGGCCCACTGGACCCTTTGCAGTTCCTACAGCACATGATTATGCTTTTGCCTTAGAAACTTTGTTCTTGCTGTTCCCTTTGCCTAGAAATCTCTTTCCTCTGGCATCTGCATGATTTCTTTCTTCACCTCCTTCCAGTTCAAAACAAACTCTTTAATGCTCTTTATTCATGTACAAAGCCTCCTCTACCACCCTGCTTAAAATCGTAACTCTACCAATTTCTATTTCTCTTTTCTGTTTTTTGTTTGTTTGTTGTATCAGATAGCATTTCCCTATCTGCCAAGCTATACATGTTACTTTTTTTTTTTTTTTGAGACAGAGTCTTGCTCTGTCACCCAGGCTGGGGTGCAGTGGCTTGATCTCAGCTCAGTGCAATCTCTGCCTCCTGGGTTGAAGCAATTCTCTTACCTCAGCTTCCTGAGTAGCTGAGATTACAGGCATCTGCCACCATGCCCAGCTAATTTTTGCATGTTTAGTAGAGACAGTGTTTCACTACTTTGGCCAGGCTGGTCGAACTCCTAAGGTCAGGCGATCCACCCACGTCAGCCTCCCAAAGTGCTGGGATTAGAGGCATGAGCCACCATGCCTGGCCACATGTTACTTTTGAATGAATCTTTGTTATCAATTGTGTCCCTCCACTAAAATGACTCCCCGAAGACAAGGTTTTAATGTCTTGTTCGCTTCTGTATTCTCCATGCTTAGAACAATGCCTAGCATATACTGGCACTCGATAACATTTGTGTGTGATAAATGAATGGATTTATTAAGCACCCCACATAGTAAGTGACTTGAGGGAAAAAAAAAGAAGAATGAAATATGAGATAATTTTACCGGTGGGGTAGAATATGCTCTCTGTATCATGTTAGTATTAATTTTATTTTCTAGATAACAGTACTTTATATTGATTGTTGGTTTCCAGTAGCTATTACATGGTCTGTTTGCCCTTCTTGCTCCAGAGAGTGAAGATGATTCTGAAATTCTCTTCAAAGTTAGATTATCATAGTCTCCGCCAGAGGGAGTCCACAGTCCATCATTTTCAGGAGCTGAAGTCAACCTGTCCCTAACAGATGACAAACCATTTGGTCTCCTGTTGGACTGAACTAATGTATGAAGATGGGGTACTAATATGTCTGTGCTTTTTGCTCTAAATCCCCTAGATGAGAGATGCAACAAAAGTGCAAGCTAGGAATTTGGTTTCCTCAGATGAATGACTCCAAAGTCTTAGGATATTTTAAACCAAGACCTAGATTCTACACATTTCAGGCAACATTTACTCTTGGGCATCTCTGAGTAATTTCTTTGTGGCTACTAATTATTACATTGAACAGTATTATTATAATGTTAAAAGCATCTGATGCCTCATGAAATTACTTTAACAACAGAATTTATTATGTAATATTTCTTATTATATAATAATTGTTGGATTCCTTGGATGTTCTTGAGTTTGGAAAATTGGTTTCTTTAATTTCTCTCTACTCTTCAAATAGAAAATACGATGGTATCAGAATATTTATTAAAACTGCATCTACAAACTCCTGTGGATGTTTTCTTTTCTCTCTTGCTTTCTCTCTCTCTCTCTTTACAGGGTCTTACTCTGTTGTTCGGGCCGAAGTGCAGTGACACAAATTCCTGGGCTCAAGCAATCCTCTTGCCTTGACCTCCTGAATAGCTGGAACTACAAGTGTTTACCACCATGCCAGGCTAATTTTTAATTTTTTCTTAGAGACAGGGCCTCATTATATTGGCCAGGCTGGTTCTTTTTTTTTTAATGTTTATTCAATGAACATTCAATTTTTATTTAAAGCCACATATTATGAGAGTCCAGATTAATATCAGATTACCTGAGTTAGAAGGCAAATGCTTTTATCACCTCTTCATTGGTAAGCTAGTGTGGTGCTTTGCTGCCTCAGTTTTCCCAGCTGGATAATGGGGACAAAATAGCTTATCTCAGAGATATTGTGAGGACTCAAGGTTTAACACATACAGGACACAGTGGGTTGGTAGTGATGAAATTTAGTAGTTCACAGGGTCTCTGTGTCTTCTTCAAGGATGAAGAATGATGGTCTTTAAGTTCTGTTGTGCAAGGTGTCTGAGTTTATCCTGACTTAATTCGCCTTGGGAATAAATTAGGTCTGAAAGTGTCCTCTACGCTTGTTGCATACTGCCTGTGAAATTCCTAGGGTATCTGTGCACTGGTCACCATTCATTTAGACATAAATTTGGCATGAGTTATCTGTTCTGTATGCATAAAGTGTTTCATTAAATACAAGAATAAACATGGCATTTACAGTTTTAAAAGAGAACTGTATAATGTGTCCCCTATTGTAGTTGGGAAGAAAATTAATCTCTGGAGACCCAGTTAGAGTTGTGCCATGTCAAAAGAGAGATACTAGTACTAGAATTCTTTTCCATCCTAAGAAAAGTTAGTTTAGCTCAACACTTTCCAACTTTTATCTTTTGAGGTTACATCAGATTTTCTGAGTCTTGGTGCATTAGTGAGTTTTAAAAGTAAAAGTTACGGCCGGGCGCGGTGGCTCACACACTTTAATTGAGCACTTTGGGAGGCAGAGGCGGGTGGATCACGAGGTCAAGAGATTGAGACCATCCTGGTCAACATGGTGAAACCCCGTCTCTACTAAAAATACAAAAATTAGCTGGGCATGGTGGCGTGCGCCTGTAGTCCCAGCTACTTGGGAGGCTGAGGCAGGAGAATTGCTTGAACCCAGGAGGCAGAGGTTGCGGTGAGCCAAGATAGAGCCATTGCACTCCAGCCTGGGTAACAAGAGCGAAACTCTGTCTCAAAAAAAATAAAAAATAAAAATAAATAAATAAAGTTACAAACACAGCTGTAGTAAGGTGTCGAGAGAATGAGTTACTGGTTAATTTAGGCAGATCCAGGTTTTATGGAAGCTGATGCCTTTAAATGAGGGCACTTTTTGAGGAGAAAACACAAAATTTCAAAGGTGAAATTGGAAGGGCTGCTTCTATGGCCTTGGGTGGAGCCTGTGCAAGGGAGGGGCTACATTGGCTTTTAACAAATATGCCTCTGCTAATAGGATTGCTCCTACGTGGGTCTCCGTGGCCACCAGAACTCATGCAAACAGGTAGATTATGGCAGTAGCAGCGGCAGTGGCAACTGAATTGGCGATCAATTGGCCAGGTCTTGAAATCTTTTGGGTAGCATTCATGTGATGATTGAGAGTCCTGGCTCTAATCCTTTGACCATGTGAAGTTGTCATAAGTGAAACAGGATACAACTGGTTGCTCAGTGAGTTGCTGCTGTGTGGCACTCATTACCTTTCATTTGGATGAAGGGACACAGAATATAGTCACAAGGATAGGAAACACTTTCCTATGCTTAACACCCCTTGAAGAATAAAATTAAAATTTGATCCATTAAATAATTGAGTTGGGGTTCTGTTTTCACCAGAGTAATAAAAGCTTGCTTTTGATGGGCACCAGTTACCACCTAATTGTCAAATTCAGTGGCTTTTTAAAGTCCTTATTTTTCCTGATCTTTGTGTCACATTTGACACTATGAGTCATCTTTTCCTCCTCAAAGCATTCTATCTTTTTTGTCACATGTCATCATTTTCTTCCTACTTCTAAGTGCTTTTCTGTTCTACTGATAATTTATCTTCCTACCTGTATTTCCCTAGTTTTTTTTTTTTTTTTTGAGACAGAGTTGCCCAGGCTAGAATGCAGTGGTGTGATCTCAGCTCACCATAACCTTTGCCTCCTGGGTTCAAGCAATTCTCCTGCCTCAGTCTCCTGAGTAGCTGGGACTACATATGCACACCACCATGCCCTGCTAATTTTTGTATTTTTAGTAGAGACAGGGTTTCACTATGTTGGCCAGGCTGGTCTCAAACTCCTGACCTTGTGATTCACCTGCCTCGGCCTCCCAAAGTGCTGGGATTACAGGTGTGAGCCACTGCGCCTGGCCTCCCTGGTAGTTCTTAAGGCCTCCACTCTTCCCTGTTTTCTTGAGAGAAGTGTGTTGCTCTTATAGCTTGGCTACCATCTCTGAGGGTATTACTCCAAAATTTGTAGTTCTTCCACAGACATTTATATGAAGCTGCAGTCCATACATGTTTGCTAAATGTTTCCACTTTATCATTTTGATGTTTCCTCAGCCTTACTGATGATTTGGCTGTTCCCCACCCAAATCTCATCTTGAATTCCTATATGTTGTGGGAAGAACTCTGTGGGAAGTAACTGAACAATGGGGGCAAATCTTTCTTGTGTTGTTCTCGCGATAGTAAGTCTCAAGAGATCTTATGGTTATTATAAAGGGGTGTTTTCCTGCACAAGCTCTCTCTTTTTGCCTGCTGTCATCCATGTAAGACATGACTTGCTACTGCTTGCCTTCCACCATGATTGTGAAGCCTCCCCAGCCACACGGAACTGTAAGTCCAATATATCTCTTTTTTTGTAAATCACCCAGTCTCAGGTATGTCTTTATCAGCAGCATGAAAACAGACTAATACAGTGAATCGATACCAGTAGAATAGGGCATTGCTGAAAAGATACTCAAAAGCGTGGAAGCGACTTTGGAACTGGGTAACAGGCAGAGGTTGGAATAATTTGGAGGGCTCAGAAGAAGACAGGAAAATGTGGGAAAATTTGGAACTTCCTAGAGATTTGTTGAATGGCTTTGACCAAAAGCCTGATTGAGATATGGACAATAAGGTCCAAGCTGAGCTGGTCTCAGACAGAGATTAGGAACTTGTTGGGAATTGGAGCAAAGGTGACTCTTGTAATGTTTTAACAAAGAGACTGGCAGCATTTTGCCCCTGCCCTAGAGATTGTGGAACTTTGAATTTCAGAGAGGTGATTTAGGGTAACTGGTAGAAGAAATTTCTAAGCAGCAAAGCATTCAAGAGGTGTCTTGGATGCTGTTAAAGGCATCCAGTTTTATAAGGGAAGCAGAGCATAAAAGTTCAGAAAACTTGCAGCCTGACAATGCAATAGAAAAGAAAATTCATTTTCTGAGGAGAAATTCAAGCTGGCTGCAGAAATTTGAAAAAGTAATGAGGAGGCAAATGTTCATCCCCAAGACAATGGGGAAAATGCCTCCAGGACATGTCAGAGACCTTTGTGGCAGCCTCTCCCATCACAGACCCAGAGGTCTAGGAGGAAGTGCTCAGAGTCTCTGTGCTCTGTCCAGCCTAGGGACTTGGGTGCCCTGCCTCCCAGCTGCTCAGCCATGGTTGAAAGCAGCCAATGTAGAGCTCAGGCTGTGGCTTTAGAGGAGCAAACCCAAGCCTTGGCAGCTTCCCCATAGTGTTGAGCCTGCAAGTAAACAGAAGTCAAGAATTGGGGTTTGGGAACCTCTGCAGAGATTTCAGAGGATGTATGGAAACACCTGGATGTCCAGGGAGAAGTTTGCTGCAGGGGTGGGGCCCTTGTGGAGAACATCTGCTAGGGCAACACAAAAGGGAAATGTGGGGTCAGAGTCCTCACACAGAGTCCCTACTGGGGCACCACCTAGTGGAGCTGTTGAAAGAGGGCCACCATCCTCCAGACCCCAGAATGGTAGATCCACTGACAGCTTGCACTGAGAGCCTGGAAAAGCTGCAGACACTCACTGCCAGCCCATTAAAACAGCCAGAAGGGAGGCTGTACCCTGCAAAGCCTCAGGGCCAGAGCTGCCCAAGACCATGGGAACCCACCTCTTGAGTCATTGTGACCTGGACGTGAGACATGAAGTCAAAAGGAGATTATTTTGGAGCCTTAAGGTTTGCCCCACTGGATTTTGGACTTCCTTGGGGCCTGTAGCCCCTCTGTTTTGGCCAGTGTCTCCCATTTCAAATGGCTGTATTTATCCAGTGCCTGTACCTCCGTTGTATCTAGGAAGTAAATGACTTGCTTTTGATTTTACAGGCTGATAGGCAGAAGAGACTTACCTTGTCTCAGATGAGACTTTGGACTGTGGACTTCTGAGTTAATGCTGAAATGAGTTAAGACTTTGAGGGACTGTTGGGAAGGCATCATTGGTTTTGAAATGTGAGGATGTGGGATTTGGGAGGGGCCAGGGGCAGAATGATATGGTTTGTCTGTGTCCCCACCCAAATCTTATCTTGAATTCCCACGTTGTGGGAG